TCGGCGCCAGACAACATGAGCACCCGACGATTGGCTGTCTGGACTAAACATATTTTCCTTAAAATGGTAATTTACTCATTCCCCCCTTACCACAAACTTCCCTCCATACTCGCAACCACCCCCAAAAATTCAAATCAAACCTCAGAATTAAAGGGTTAGATTTGCAATTAATCAATTATAACATCGCCATTGAAGATTGAACAGAGCTTCCTTCTTCTTCCCTTCCCCCAACCTTATCGGAGCTCAGAATGCAATTAGAGGAAGTAGTGAAGAAGCTGGCTCTCTTTTTTACAATGTTGTGAATATTGGACTGGACATTAAGCCTGCAAAGGGAGATGTTCAAGATTCAAAGGTCGAATTGGGATTGAATCAGGGTTCAACCGAATGACATAATAAATATATAAATTTATTTAAATATGACAGAAGTTTTATACATATTTAACATCTATACAAATAAAAATGAACATTTTAATGAATAATATTGTGCTAGCGTGGTGATACTCCTAAAATATATAGTATTTTTAGACACATTTTTATACATATTTTTGAGATATTGCGCTGTAATGGAAATGCATTTTGTGTTTTTCTTGCAGATACAGATAAAAATGCTGAAAAATGCTTAAATGAGTGAAAAATAATCAAAATTAGAGCAAAAATGTGAAAAATATGCAAAAGAGTTTTGACGCCTAAGCACCAGATCTGGCGCTTAAGCGTCGGTTACACAGAGAAGGTCGCGCCTAAGCACCAAAAGCCTCGCGCTTAAGCGCCAGTGGCAGTGATAGGACGAGTAAATTTGATTTGTGCGAATTTTAAAGAGGTTTTTAAGGCACTCATTGGCTTAATAGGTGGTTATAACCACCATAGAAAAAAATTATCACGAAAGGATGCATCTCTTAGGGAAATGCATCAAATCTAGACAGATTTTGAAGAGAAACCAAGACATCTTTTGGAAAATTATAAAATAAAGAAGATTGAGACTTTGAAAGAGGTCCTGAAAGTATTGGATTTGAAAGAGGTCCTGAAATGAAAGAGGTCCTGAAAGTATTGGAAAATTTTGAAAGTTCTCATTTTTGGGAGTTAGTTCAGAGACATTTTCAGGCATCACTTTTACTTTTATTTTATCATTTTTGCTATTTTATTTTGAGTGATTGTAAACAGAAGAGAATCAAAGGAACTTCAAGAGTTTGGTGGAGGACTTGCGATAAGTTTTTGTCTTTTGTTTTGAGACTACTTTTGGTTTTAATTGAGACTTGTTGTTGGTTTGGCAATGATTTCTTTTTTTAACTAAAGTGTGGTTTTATTTTCTCTATGGATTCTAAGTAGTTTTTTTTTTATCTTTCTTCTTAAAATAATAAGTAATTAAGTTTTGGTCGGAAGTGTTGGAAAGTATTTATCTTCAATGTGAAAGAAGTTGTGATGATTTAAATCCATGCACTTCATTTACTTCTTGATTTTACCAATCCAGATGTTAAAATTTGTTGTGAGAACATGTAAGAACTTGGTTGGTAATGTCTCAGTCAACAATTAGAAAGAATCACATGAGGTTGTATGAATGAGAACGTAGTTCATATGATTGAGTGCAAATAAATAGGGAAATATTCATTGAAGGGTGTTGAGTTAGAGGACTTTAAAGTGACAGGTTAAAGCCCCCAACTTGGTTTATTGTTTTAGGTTCTGATACGAGAATGTTAGCCCCCAGGTGGAGGGAATCGAGGGAACTCTAGAGTAAGTGTCAGTATCTTCCCTGCCTAGCCGGTCTTCAGAACTATTCAAACTTTAAATTAGTCAATGTTCTTTATAACATCTCTAGTAAGGGTAAAGAATATTACTACTTCTATTTGACACAACACAATTTGCATAATTCCACAACAGAATTTCTATACTTATTATTGATTCATAACAAAAAGAAATATATTTTCATACTTAGTGTTTTTCTTCTACAAAAACTCTAGTTATCTTTTAAATTGTTATTGTTCTATCAAAAAATTAAAAATACCAAAAATATTTAAATTTTCATTACTGCAAAAATCATCTTTAGTTTAGATATTTATCTTTTTATTAAGTTTTTTTATTAAAAATAGAAAGTTTATTGTTCAATAGTGCATTTTGCGTATTCTCCCTGTGGGTTCGATATTCTGGTCTTAATCAAAAAGTCATATATTACTTGATAACGATACATATACTTGCGTAGTATCCCAATATATATAAATTAAAAGTTAAATTCTTATTTTTCTTCAAGATCAATTTTTTGGTTTTGTTGCAAAGTAAGCAAATATATGTGAAATATAATCTGAATTTTTGTTGTATTGTGCATATTAACAGTATTCATGGATCACGTGGCAAGTGGGGTTAATAAACATCTCAAAATATAAAGATATCTCGAGAATAATATATGATGTCAATGTTAATATTCTCAACTTTATACAAACAAAAGGAAAGTTTTAATGATAATATATGATGGTTATATGTGGTTAATAATAATGTTGCTAAAATTTGATTGTTCAAGATATCAAATGGGGACATATAAATTTGTTACATTAAATTTTTTTTTATTACTATAAATAAAAGACCTCTATCTCGAGATTCCTATTGATCCCATATGCCAAGCTAGCACAATATCTCATGATATGTTGCATGCTCTTCTTAGTTCTCAATGTCTTTCGATTCCATTGGAAACTTCCCATGGTTGCACTTCCCAATGACTTTCGGACCGGTTCCCTTAAATTGGAAACGGTTTTTCGGTTGGACGAACGATTTGATTCGACGCTAATTAGATTTTTGCTTCCATCCGAACCGGAATCACGCCCGGTTCCCGGTCGGCCAGTCCGGTCTGATTTTTAAAACCATACTTTTTCATCTATATGGGATTTTTTTCTTCATCTTCTTATTTTTTTATTGATGTGCAAAATTTTTTCATTCTAAATGATTAAATTATAATTAAAAAAAGATGAACGTCTTGAAGATTACATCAATATGAAGGATATTGTATACCTATATAGCATCACGAGAACATTGAATGTGCAAGATGGTTTAATAGTGGTTAAAGTGCCCGCAGAGATCAATTACCCTCTCATCGGAGTCGATGCTTGTGATCTTGAAACCCGTTGAGATGGGGTGTTGGAGGAATGTCTTGGCTAAGAAAGAGGATTCTTAGAAGTTGTGACAAGTAGGGAAATGATCTCTATCCTCTAGAGGGAACTCTTTCAGGACCATGTGTCGTAACTCATCACGGATGATGTCATTAGGAGCTACAACAAGGAGGGGCGGTGCCAAGTAAGCTGCTTAAGATAGAAGAGTGGAAGTTATAGTATTGAGAAGGTCAGTGTTTCGTCGTGGGGGAGGGTCTCGGTACGAATATATTCAAGCAGAGCATTTTGCGTTGGTTGCTGAACTGGTGGTAAGTAAGCTCCATTAGGTTGCATGGGCACTGGTTGTTGAAACTAACATTGAAGCTGAAAGATCTCATATTGGGACTTCTCCATCCTACACACAATCCTCCTAAGAGGGACTAGAGGCGCTTTTCGCCAACAGGGTGGAAAGATGCGAAGGCCTAAAGCCCATGACCCTGTGATTGTCCTCTGGAATGTTGGGTGTCGAAGTGTGGTGTTATGTTATTGTGAGTATTGCATCTGGTGTCTATTCAACATGTTCTGCAAGCACTTTAGCAATGGGATTCTAATTTTCATAGATGGTGTCAAATCGATGAATGCTAGATAATTCGCGATGATCAGTAGTGAATTATAGTTGCAGTATTATACGAGAATCTAACACAAACTCAGATAAAAAAATAACTAGTATACCCCATAAATTATTTACGTGGAAAACTCAGGAAGGGAAAAAACCACAAAGACTGACTCAGTTAGAACAATCCACTATAGGCCGGTGATTACGGGTAGAGGTTCATATCTCATAGGGGGAAAAGATTACATAGTTCCTTATGATATAATGTTCATTGTACACTGATTGTGATTTGTTGCAGTTGCTAATTAGGAATAATTATTGGAACCAATACACTATCTTCGAGGTGCATCGATGAACGACTACTCCACCATGTGCTTTGCTGTTTTACAACTGGGAATCTGCAAGATTGTGACTTTACAAAAGATTTCACTGCAAGGAGTAAGTGGTGGTTGATGATGGTCGACGAGGTGTTGTTGACGGTGGTCGGTGGCTGCAGAAGCAAGTTTTTTTGGCTGGACCTTTGGCGCTGAAGCAATGCAGCCTTCGGCTCCTTCTTCAAGCTTCCCTTTTATTCTGGCTCGAGGCTTAGGTCCACTTTCAAGAGGGGGGTGGGGCACTATTTGGAATGTTCAGGTTGCAAATAAAGAACGAATCTGATTCACTCTAATCAGACGGCCTGAGAAGGTTCTCTCATTCAGATGACGTTCTATGAATATCTAAGTGTCTTAATGATGTCATAATTGAGTGATATTAGACTCATTGGATTCGTTTATTAACATGTCATATTTGGAATCTGCTTATCATTTTAATTATACACTGAAAGCTTCCTAAAATGATTTTACGGCTTGATCTAGACTTCATATGACTCGAATTTGACAAATTTTGTTATCATTATATTACTCTTCGCTAGCAGGTCAACTTGAATGTAAGTTTGTTGAAGTTAAAGTTATGGATATCTTTCAATCAAAGTTTGAACATTTCTTACTAAATAAATTATTTCGAGGTTCACATCACGCCTCTATACTCATGCTAGACCATGAAAATTTGTTGAGGAGCATCAATTATATTTTCCTTTTTTTAGCATTTTGGGCTTATTTTCTTGCGCCTTTTTGTCCGCTCTCATTTTCCCAACAAAGCAAAACCCAAAAAATAAATCAATAATAAGAAGAAAATTTACGTCCGTACATTGCACGCCCGGAACCGCCAGACTTTACGGTGCCAAACACATCAGCGCCAGACAACGTGAGCGTCCGACGATTGGATGTCCGGACGAAATATATTTTCCTTAAAATGGTAATTTACTCATTCCCCCCTTACCACAAACTTCCCTCCATACTCGCAACCACCCCCAAAAATTCAAATCAAACCTCAGAATTAAAGGGTTAGATTTGCAATTAATCAATTATAACATCGCCATTGAAGATTGAACAGAGCTTCCTTCTTCTTCCCTTCCCCCAACCTTATCGGAGCTCAGAATGCAATTAGAGGAAGTAGTGAAGAAGCTGGCTCTCTGGCACACGCCGACCTTCAGACCGATCATGAGCCACGACGACCTCGAGCCCATCTTGTGCTCCGTTGGATTCATCTCACTGCCCGCAGATCCCCCTTCCGACTCACCATCATCGACATCCCTGCAACAACAGCAGTCGTCCCCAATCGCCGCCCCGTCGCCGGATGTGCGGTGGAAAGAGTACGATTTTCCGTCGGCGGCGGCGTCTGCCGCGGCCGTTTCCGGTGGTTTCCCTCCCCGGCCGAGGCTTCCGTTTCCAATGATCTATGGGCTACACCTCATCGCCTACGCGGCTTTTCTCAGAACCCTAGAATGCTACATTGGTCCAACGGATGTTTACAATCTGTTCCATGTGAGGTCGGTTCCATAATTTTGTTTCCTCTATCGTTTTTTTCTCTTAATCTTCTCGAGAAAATATTACGTTCGGAGTCAGTCTGATTTGATCAATGGATGCGATACACCGAGTGAGGGTTTTTTTTCCTTTTCCGCTCTTCTGGTGAGTCGTGTCCGTTGTTCGTTGTCCGTTGTCCGAACGCTGCTTGAATCCGTACTCCTGATAAAATATTTTTTTCAAGCTCTGAGATGTTCTCTATCGACTGAATAGTTGTATTTAGGGTTCGTTTGAGACACGGGGAAAGTTTTGTTCCGTTGGAACGAATGTCAAAGCCTCCAAAAATTTAAATAGGGGATGAACGACAATTTTCACCGTTTAAGATTTTAACTCATTTTCTCCGAGCGAAGAACATAACTTTTAAAAGAAATTTGATTGAGTTGACGTTGTTTTAAATGAAACCTTACATAAGGTGATATACATGTAAAAAACTAAAGTTTTTGAAATATAAATACATAAGAACTATGTATATGTATGTAAATCTTTCTTAGATGGTGTTTGGGTGCATGCAACCATGATTTAATGTAGGATTTATCAAGTTTGATGAATTTGGATTTATTTTCGATTGCGGAGTTCGTTGAAATATATATGCTTCGCAATCAGATTCAATAAATTCGGTATTACATCGTGAAAGAGATAGAAAGCGAGGAAAAATAAATAGAACACGAGAAAATTTGATATAACAGAGCGTTGGATTTAATGTTCAGTTTTTCTTTATATCTGCCTGGATTTAAGTTGAATCGATCATTAAATCCTATTAATAGCATGCTACCAAAAATAATTTTTAATATTTAAACTTACAACACTAGAACCTTTCAAATCACAGAAAGATATTATTATTATTTGCTCAGACAAAGTGAAGCACATTTTTTCAATTATAGGTAAAGTGGTATATATGTAAAAATTAAGCGAACTAGTTATTGTTACGAGTAACTTTTCAATTAATATGAAGTTAAAATTTAATGATATTGTGGGGTTAATGCTTATGAAAAAGTTTGCAAGAAGACTAGTGATGAAAATTTAAATTATGCTTTGAATGTTGAAACTAGATGAAAGAATCTGAATAGAAACACAGACAATGACAAATTCAAGTCCATGAGAGAAATGTCCAAGTCAGAAAAAGAAACAGAAAGGAGTGAATACTGAATTATGGGAATAAATACTATTTTAAGAAAAGTTACAGAGCTCTGAAGAAGGTTGGTGGTGGATGTCTAGATAGAAATCATTCTACAAATATGGTTGCGAAGTTGAAGATTAAAAGTAGTGGGAGTTTGTCATAGATGATGAGATACATTTATTATTATCGAATCTGATATGGAAATTGGCAAAACTATCAGATGTCAAAAAGGCACTACACAATAAGTGAGTTTATAGCCTAAAAGAAGAGTTAGCGTTATAAGGCAAGTCTTTAGTAAAATGAAGGAGTTGACTACATTGTGATATTTTCTCTTATAGTAAAGATGATAATTATTAGAGTTATGTTGAGCTTAGCAGTATATGAAGATCGACATTTGGAGCAAATAGATGTAAAAATAACCTTCTTAGATGGTGACTTAGAAGAAGTATATATAGCTCAACCACAAGGATGTGAATTTCTAGGGAAAGAGGGAAAGAAGACATGGTTTTTAGACTGAAAAAGAGTCTTTATGATTTGAAGCAGGAACCAAAGCAGCGGTACAGAAGATCTGACAGGTTTATGTCAATTAGCAGGTACACAAACTATCAAACAAATTATTGTTGCTTCGTTAAACATTTTGATAGTTATTACATTGTGCTTCTTTTATACGTAGATGATATACTGATTCCAATAACATGTACGAAAAACACTACAGTTCATTCCTATGAAGGCATTGCAAATTTAGAGAAGCAAAATTGATTTTAATCAGTCTCCAAGCGAAAAGATTATTATTATGTGGAGCCCCATTATGTCTCAATTGCTCACTCATAGACATAAGTTTTACTGTTCATTCTTGATGGCAGCTTTTTTCACTTTTATCCTGGTTTTTTTTTAATATTTGCGTATAGCCTGTCATCAGCCTTTTATCAGTCATCTACAGGGTTCATTCCATAAATACTACAATTATTAGAAAAGCTTTCCTTTTAATGATTCAGAGCCATGGCGTGCTGTCCCCTGCTTGATGAAGACTTCGAGAAGAACTACAGACCCATGAAGAACTTCGGCATCGACGACGGCCGACTGTATGCGTATCGCAAAGGCACCATTTTTAACTACATGTTCGAACAGATTACAGCTCTGGATAGCAGTGATGAAAGCGAGGAGGAAGATGACAGAAATCACAGCAACAATGGCGCCGATCAAATCATTATGGTTTCGCTGGACGACATTCTGCCAGAGAGGAATGAGCAGAAGTAGAAGATGACTCCATTCCTTTTTACATACAGACCCCCCAAAATATTGGTATTTGCATGACAAGCATCCAGAGTGAAATAGAAATAGATGGGTTGGGGTTTTACTGTGAATTTTGGTGTTTGAATTTGCAGAAGGATAAAAGGGGGAGGTAGATTTGTAAATAGCAAGTTTTGGGTGGTCTTTTTGCCCATTTTTTTCATGAATTGATTTTTCATTTTTTTACTCATTGTTTGGAAATAAGAGGACAAACAAATGTGTTTGTAAATATGCTTTTTTTTTTTTTTCATTTCAGTAATATAAATAAATAAATAAATAAACAAACAGCTTGAGGAATTTGAATAGCTCACAATTTTTTTTTGTATTTACATATTTACCCCTAAATTTTTATATTTAGATGCATAACCCCTATATCTTTATTTTCACATTAGAAATAACACTATTATCATTTTTTAAGAGTGAAATATATATATATATATATATATATATTAATGTATAAGTTCAAGACATCAATGTACCATGTATGTAAATGACATTATTATATTCTTCAAGAGTGGTATATATATATTCTTTATTGCATAAGTTTAAGTTTAAGACTGAAAATTTTTGATGTATCTATAAACTAAAAAAATTATATAAGTTAATATTAAAATTTAAGTGTTAAACAAGTAAGGCTTAAACAAGTAAAAATTGGAGTAAACAAGTTCATGAAGTTATGATTTGATGCAAAACTCATACATTACTAAAAAAAGAAAAAAAAAGTTTAGTGGATAATTCATAAATTTTTACCGTCTACACTGGCCCTGATGTTGTATGACTATGACACCTCTTGTACCATAATATAATTCTTATGGATAAGAATGACTATAAAAGCTCTGTATTCTGACTGAATGACGATTTGATGGTCATTTGATTAACATTTATCACATTCGAACCACCTGTGTGAGAAAAGGAGAATGACACAAAGCAAGTCAATTGATCATACAACCAGCAAGATAGGAAAGGTATTTACAACTATAAAACATGAAACATTTTTATTCTTCTCGGTCGAAATGTACATAACATCCAAAATAACAACTATGAAAGATATGCCCAATACAAATTTTCAATAGAAACCATCTTTCGTAACTGGGACCCTTGCTTTTCTCACTCTTTTTGGGAGGACCTCAGGATGTGTGGGAGAGCTAAAAGCATGAAGGCTGTGTTGAAGCTCATTCATTGAGAGCACCCATTCTCCTTGCCCTCCATCTTCTCATATCTTCCTTATGCTGAAGATTTGAAGCTGGAAAAGTAATGGAAAAAAAGAGTGTTGTTGTTAGGTGACTTTTCATGTCTGACATTCGTTGGCAGGAAGAAGGTGATTCCACCTTGGCAACAGCCATCGAACGGATATGGTGCCCACCGGTAGCATATCTTCAACTACTTCGAGGGACGCCCCATCTGTTCACAGAAAGGATTTCCGCCTAGTGTGCTATCTAGACCTACTTCCCCCATAAGCTTTCGTATTCTTCATACTCTTCCTCACAAAGCTTGGAAAGATAATTTATGTCAGAAAGCTTATGAGTCTTACCCCTCCACCGCTAATGGGGAAGAGTTGAAACCCTCATGGCAGCAACCGCCGAACGGATGTATTACATTCTCTAGGGATGTCAAGGTGGCGCAACATTTCCCCATGAGACGCTATGCTTGTTCACGAGGTGGAATGACCATGATCGTCCACCTATTCCGATGCGTGTTCAACACCCAACACGAAAGAAGACACCTCCTTCGACACATGGCCCAAATGAGGCTTGTCGCTCCTACTAGTGAAAAGTCACCTTCACCTTTGATTCCACGCAAAGCCGACCAGACTCCCGTTACTCTCCACTGATTAGCAATTTTTATGTGAGCGTGAATGCAATTAGCAAAGTCCCCTTCCTCCTTCTTCTATAGGAAGGAGAGGTCAGCGATCACAACAGTGATCTCTTGATAAAGCTTGCTAAGAACCCACTCAAAAAAGACAACGTGGCGCAATGACGGGACAGGTCGGAAACTAATTTTCCAAAAAGGAAAGAGAAAAGGATAAAATGTCATAGTCATCGTAGCCTTTAATATTGATATGTTGGGGCATGTGATAAGCCGACGAGACCAAACCCACCACGACGTTCAAGTGTCGTCCCCCAATGCATAGAAAACTTGATTTGATCGGGCACGTCTGTGAAATTGAGTGGAGGTCGATCACATAACTCAGTGGAATTGATTGGTGGTTGATCATGAAACTCACCTGATACAGGTACACCTAGGAAAATTGACTGATTATGATGGATTGACTGAGCTGGTTTGCATCACCTTTGTATTGCAAACCCGAACCACTGAGGTTGAAAGGGTTGGGTTCCCATAGATGGTTCGTTGCTCACTAGCAACAAGATCTTGACCCGACCCGCAATTACGTGTATTTTTAATCTCCAAAATTTTGTCAAAAAATATGTCTCAAATTATATCTAACGGCTAATGTGAACAAATGCAATGATTTATGAATTATATAATAAATTTTCACATTATGGATGCTACGCAAGTATACATATCATTTCAAGTAATATATGATTTTCCTTAAAAACCCCAGTATCGATCCCACGGGAAAAGTTACAAATCTTAAAATCTACTTACAAAATTTCTATTTAAATTGCAAATTAAACATAAAAGATGTCTATAATGATATGCTTACTAAAAATTATTAATAAAAAGTTAAAAAGAAAGTAACAATTAAATGTAACATCTTAATAAAATATAACAACAAGTTTGGATATTATGAAAAACCTTTCCCCTTGCAAAGAAATTTTAACATATGTAGGATTCAAGTGATTTAAGACAAAATCTATGTATTGTAACAAATAGAAGCATACATTATTCTTTACCCCCTCCCGGTGCTAGCAAAGAACATGGGCTAACTTAAGGTTGGTTCCTTAACATCTCGATTACGCATCAGAACTACCTAGCCTCTCACTTCTGGATGCCTCTAAGCCTATGCCACAATGATGATTGAATCCCAATGTTAGGGTACTAAACCTTAAGTCAAATTGATAAGAATCTAGCATGTAACTCTAGAACTAACTAATTATATACCCATCAAAACTTATCTCTCTATTTATTTGCACTCGCTCTTAGGTGATCGTCATGACTCTGCCTTTAATGAATTGTGGTATCCACTAGTTGGGTGAAATCATATTCCTCCCAGATCATTATGTTTATCAATAAATTTTAATCTCACAAGTGGCCAGTTTGCAAAGTAAATGAAGATTCAGTGAAAATACCATCATAATTTTTAAGAGTAAAAAAGAAATTTTTAAATTATTCTCATCCCACAAGATTAATTCTCATAAGCAAGGAGAGAAAAAGGGAACTAATCAAAAATCATGGAAATTAAACAAAAACAAAACATTTGCAATGAAATCCAAGTCTTACAATAAAAACTTAAACACAAATACAAAGTACCTTATGTTTTCTCCCCAAGTAAACTCCTAGAGTTTTCTTTAAGCAATCTCCAAACTTTTACACATTAAAACACGCTCACACTTACACTTAAACACAAAATAAGAAAACTTAATTATCTATGGTCGCCTAATTGAAGTTTTGAGGCTCCAAAAGGTCTCTAAATTTGACCAAATCCTTCTCATTTAATAGAAAATAGAAATTAACCAAGGGTTGACTCAAACACCCCTCCAAAATTTGGCCAAATTAAATGGATCTTCTAGAAAGGTAGTTTCTGGAGCTATAACGCAGTCTGGGGCGCTGTAGCGCCCATCTGGCTGGAGTCTGCCGCTATTAGCGCCAAGGGTGGCGCTATAGCGCCACTTATATTTGCCCATTTTTGCTCCTTTTTTCCTCATTTTCTCTAAATGTCCATTCCAAGTACCTGAAACAAAAAATATGCAAAATACCTTCCTTTAAAGTGCAAAATCATCAAAAATATACATAAAATGCTTATAAAATATGCACTAAAAACAAATTATTTTTAGGTGGATCAAATCTACAAAAGAATGTAGTGCAAATGAACCTAGAAACAGGTCCCTGGGGGTTTTGCTCGCCGGTGACGACAAGATCTGCGCTTAACAAGGAATAAACCTCATCGAGGAAAAGATCCAATTGGTTGACGCGGTGGGGGTAAGCGATGACTTAGGCCCTTGAGTAAACTGAGAAGTCGATGTATATTAATTGGATGACATGAAAAATGCCTGAAAATATGATTTAACTAACAATTCAAGTCAAGCATGATCACCTCAGACATGAAATCTTGTGCTATCTGGGATTCAGGATTTAGCTCTGGGGTAGAGTGAAACGCTTGCCAATGAGAAGATCTGTGGCATGTCGCAAATGATCACCTCAGACACGAGTCTCTTTGAAGGCGACAATCCAACCAAACTGGATAAGTTATATATCCATTGTTGACCTCACTTTTGGTTGAGGTCAAGTTTCTTCCTTAGTATCATAGGGTCTAGCCATAGGAGTTTCATGTTGACTATTTCTAGAGGAATAGTAAAGGAACCCTCACCATTAGAAACTCTAAACTCTTCTTTTCTCAGTTTGAAGTTCCACATATTGGTCTTAACCTCTAACATTTTGTAGGTGGGGCCAGTATGGGAGAGGTCAAAGGGAGTCCCCATAGGATTGTTTGGCCTTAGGGTGGATCCTAGATGGTATGGCCTTGGTCAGTTTTACACACATACACACCTAACATTCCTCACTTACACCCACAACCTCAAGCTTTAGTCAAATATGCTTAGTTGGTCCCTTAACCTTTTGAGAAACTCAAGTAGATGGTCGGTCCCCTAGGCCACTAGCCCTAGGTTAGGGTTTAGGCGAGACCAGTACAGGGAGGACCCAAAGTAGGGAATTTTATTGGTCCATGACTCAAGTTGGGTGGTTGGCAACCCCAACCCTACTAAAATACCCAATTTAGCCTTCTACCCCCAAAACCTACCCAAATTACCAAACTACCCTTAAAACCCCAAAACTGACCAAAATTACGCAAAATACCCAAATTTGTTAAAAAATAATCTCAAACCATTTGAAACCACCCAAATTGCCCAAAACACCCTAAAATTTTTAAAATTACCAAAATACCTCTAATTTTGCCAAAATTACAAAAATACCCCTGGTGACCCAAACTGTCCCAAGACCTTCAAAATCATTTAAATTGTGCCCAAAACCAATTTGAAACACTCCATTGAGCCCAATTTGAGCAATTTGATCTATTTTGACCA